TTCTAAAACAAAACCCTTCAACGTTCGACTAGCCACAAATCGTTGTGCGTTTCATCTGCCAGACAGCAGGCAGACACAAGACAGTTTAGATCCAGTCATCGAGATCCTAACAGAGGAGCCGACTGTTCATGTCACCACAAACCAGATGCAAAGTGGGTCCCTCTGAGGCTGGCAATTTATTTTAAGGGATGAACTGAGGGAGAGAACCACCGTTCACTGCAGCCCACTCACAACCCAAGCACGTTACAGGCGTCACCGTTTTTGAGGCGAGCTTTCGTCTCCTTCAGCTGTGGTACAGAGCATCTCGGAACGGCTCAGCTCTGATCTCAAAATAAAATGCCTTTCCTCCCCAACACTTGGATTTTAATCAACCTGTGCAGAAACAGCGCTAATCACCCTGTTCCGGTCAGATAAGGCCATGTTCCTTTTTATTACTGAATAAAAGGTCTGGCCGGCAGGAGCCCTCAGAATTACCACGCAACGCAACGTTCAAAACCGAGCCACTGGAGTACTGCTTTTGACAGTTCATTAACATTCCTATGTCGCCTGCTTCCTCCTCCAGGCCGATGCAGAAGCGGATCCCAATGCTGCATTGCAGCAGCCGTTGCACAACGACCAGCCGTTCCTGGAGAGGTGCAATCAGCTGCTGCCCCGTTTAACCTTCCCCACATCCCCAGGGTGGGGGAGATGAGGGTGGCAAGCAGGGTTACCCAGAGCCTCCTGTGTTTTTCCCCTTTTTAAGCTGTTGAGCCAAAGCAGGGCAAAAGCAATGGAGGCTTCTCCCAGAAGGGGCTATGTCCCAGCTCCCTCTTGCTTTAAGATGCGCAACTTTACCGCGGCATGGAGGAGGAGGAGGGGTGCCGGAAGCTATGAAATAAAAGCTCCAAAAGCTTATGAAACTGAAGACTCGGAAAGCAGCGATAAATGGAGCCACTGTCCAGAGGATCTCATTGCATCTTAGCACACGTTCACTTTCACCTCTTGCATTTGGGATCTCCCTCGCGGGCCCCAGCGTCTCCAGCTTGGTTGAGCAGTGGCTGCGCAGGCCTCGCAGCCTCAGTGGCTCTCCCCAGCCCTCGCTGCGGGACCCGGGCCGCTCGGCAGCTCCCCGCAGCCAAAGCCGTCCCGGGGTGCCTGTTTCGTGCCATGCTGCGCCCACAGCCGCGCGACTCGCTGCGCAGCATCACCCCGCAGCCACTAGCTGCCCCTTTCGCTCTCGCCTGCGCATTCGTTTCGCTAAAAGCGAGACCCGTGCCCTTCCCGGACGGACAGCGCTATAAGCATCTGATGCCAGGGATGACAAAGCTGCAGGCTCTCACCTTTTCTTCCAACGCGGTGCGTGTCGGCAGCTCCTGCTCGCTGGAAAAGCAAGGGTTCACAGTTTATTTGAGAGGCCAGAAGGGTGCAGAGCGCCCCACGCTGCCGCACTCGCTCCTCTATGGGAACTACCCGGAGACATTTGTGATCCCAAGCCCCCGGCCACGTACAGCGGGCGACGTGACTCCAGGGGTTCGTGTCTTTTTCCCTACAGCTCCTTCCTGTGACAAAAAGGCAGAGGAACCACTACACACAGCATGACCTAGCCTGCCCAAGGCACCAAGCAAAAAATCCACTGCCTTGCAGAAACTGCGGGAGTGGAAAACACCGAGTATTGGACGTTGCTCGAAATCCTGGGCATAAAGCTCCTCTTCAATATGCAGCTGATCAGCAATTAAAAAAGCGTGTATGGGGGGAATATACAGTTTCCAAGGGAGGAGAATAAATAAAAGGCAGAAGAAATTTGAATTTGGCAGAGACATCTGAAAGAAAACACGCAACTACCTGTATGAATGTCCACCTTGCTGGAGTGTGGGGGAGTGTGAGAAGTGAACCTGTCTCACGTGGGCAGTTCTCACCCGCCGACGGTGTGTGCTCTCCCACGCGCTCTGCCTGCAGCTCAGCCCGGGAACCCAAGCTAGAACCACCGCTCGGATCTCACGGATCCCTGCTGCCCCACAGCACTGCAGCTGCCATGCCGCGCAAGGTTAAACTCAGCTGAAGCACTGTGATTCATTTCAACAAATGGAAATATTTGACCTGGGAAGGTCAAAACCATCAACACTGATCAAAAATAACCACTTAAGTCAAACGCTAGGATTTCCGAACAGAAATTGCTTTGAAACCCCCTCCTGCACAAGGACACTTAATATTGTAACTCTTCATTCAGATTTTGAATAAGTGATTCTTCAAACATCCTCCCTCTGCACACAGTGCATCCCACTTAGAATAGGGGTTTCCTAAGGGAACTGAAAATGATCCGATATCCCTTTACTACACCTCCCCGTATCAGCAAGCACAAACGCAAAAGCTGCTCCTTTGGAGAAAGGCCAAGTGCCTCCAAGGAGGCATACGGCCACCGAAACCTGCAACTTCTGACACCAGGCTTGTGATGGGAAACCGCCCTTCCCCAAAGAGGGGGGGGGGGAAAAAAAACAAAACACAAGTGAAAGGGTATCCTTAAATCATGTTTAAACCTTTCCTACCAGCTGATTTACCCCAAAGCCTTTTAAAAGGCAATCTGATCATTCTGAGGCAGTTTTAGAGAGCTCCAAACCTTGCCTTGCAGCAGATTCAAACCAGTGTTTCCACACGCGTGGATAAGGGAGGAGACACATCCACTCTTTCTTTCTACGTTTGGGATCAATCAAATCAAGCCACAGAGCGCCTTGTAGCAAAGACGCCAAAATCTGTTGTATTCTCTGCAAAAGAGCGCCCTGAACAAGCACGCAGCGTGAAGGCCATCAGGGAGAGGAGAGGGCCAGGGGACTTACTGCAGGAATCCAAATCGGTCGGTGACTTTATACAGCGTGAAGTCGGCATCTTCCCACGGATCGATCTGAGTTCCTTCCTGCCTGCCCTGCAAAGCAGAAGAGATACCCATGAGCCACCCTGAGCAAATGACAAGTCCACTCAATATCTATGCTGTGCTCTTATACTTGGGATCCACAAAAAACTCGGGAAAATACTTTGGGTGAAAAGATGTATGAGGGCAAGCAGGCAGGGAGCCAGGGAGGCCCAGCAGGAGCCAAAAAGGCTGGTGAAGCACCGAGCCCCACGCTGACTCCACACGCGGGAAACGCGCCGCACAGGAACGTGATTACCCTAAGGGTCTCCAAAACACTATGAACTGGTAGCAGAAGGCCCAGTAAAGGCCCTGGGCTCTGGCAAAACAGCTAAAAACCTACCAAACAGCACCTATGACTGTTACTCAGAAGCCTGATGGCTCGAGCGTTACTGCGGTGATGCCTCATGGGAGGCAAAAGCTCCTGTTCAAAGCGTTCCTGCTTGACTAATCACCTAAGTAGCTCCAGCCTTAGCAAGCACGTTAGGGAAAAAACACAGGGTTGGTACCTTCTCATACTTGGCAACGATCTCCGCTCTTTCCTGGGCTATTAAAGTGTCTATATCTTTCTTCATGTCAGAAGCTGTAAGGCAGAAAAGAAAAAAAAAGGGACAAAAGGAGATAAGTAAATGTGAACGCAGCATGGGAAATATTTTAGGAAAGCGCTAATAGAAAAAAGCTTTGCTGACAACTTTAACTTCCAGCCTTCTCGTGCAGCTAAAATTAGACCGAGGTTGAAAAGACTCCACGCAAAGCATGTGTGGCGCTCCCATGTACAACATACGACTGCCAGGTCCTCGGTCTCTGCACAAGGAAACAACTGGGTTGGAGCAAGCGGGAGTTCTGTCCACGTAGCGGGCTGGAGGATCGGCTGCCGTGCCTTTGTTCCTAGGCGCAAAAAAGCCTCTACAAAAGACATCAAGCTTTTAAATGCAGACATTCAAACCAGCCGTGCTCACCACAGAGCTCTTGCGTTATATGGTCTCCGCGCCAGCTGGACTGCTGCACAGCTTAGTGCTTACTCAGAGTAGAGCAAAATGCCAAACTCTGCCCTCAGCTTACATATGGGAAGCCGTTGGAAGCTCAGTGGGGGCATCTGAAGGCAGATTTAACATCAAAGGAGGAACTAAAATGAGATATGTTCACCTCCTGAAGTGCATACGCAGCAAAGTAAATTGGCCGCTCAACGATGAGCTTCCACAGACATCCATAAGAATAAAACATCAAGCGGCAGCAAGGCAACCGCACAAGCCCCCAGCTATTGGGTCTGAGATGGATCAACCTGTTGGCCAAGACCCAATCTAGTTCCCAGGGATCTAGGTCACATCCCTGGGATCTGCGCCGACTGCTTTGCTTCATCCCATATGCACGCACAGAAGGAAGATCGTTTCCCATGTCAAACGTGACATTGGTATTGCGCCATACAAGCCTTGGCCCAAAGGGTCCCAAACACTCAACAAGCTACAATATCTGCTCCAAGTAACCAAGTCAGTATCAGACGCAGCCTAACAAAGTTTCAACTTGAAAGGGTAAGTACAGAAATGCTCATCTAATGCATTCAGGAAAAGCAAGGGCAAATACAAGAGGAAGAAATTACAGAGGACCAACGTTCCCTGCAAGGGAGAGCGCGGAGAAAAGGCCTGCAAAGTTTTTCTCCTTCAACGCTCCTGGGAGCTGCTCCGCCCCCAGCGCTTGGTGGCTTTTCCAAGTTTTTCTGTGCTTCTGATGCAGCTCCTATACTATACGGACAGGATAAACGCTTGAGCAGTAACGTTGCAGTGTCACCTACGAGGCTGAGCCCTTCGGAGTCCTGCCGACTCCCCGCAGGCCGACGCGTCCCGGATGGAAAGAAGGCATTTCAAGAACAGGAAGGGAACTGCGGGCTGAAATTATTTTACAAGTGGCTTAGAGTTTAGAAACTTAGATTAGAAAACCTCTCAGAACAATCTGTTAAAAAGGAAGACTACATTTTGCCTGCTCTAAGGAGATTTTGCCTTTTTTCACTTGCTGCAGAGAGGCTTGGCAGGGTCGGGGAAAAAAATAAACTGTTAAGAGCCACCACAGCCTTAAACTGTTTTCCCCACTGCTACATCATGAATCATCCAGTGATTTACCCAGAGCATCTGGACGCTAACTAACTTTAATATTACAGTCCAGAGATTTCTCGTAGGGCTTAAAAGGAGCTCCCGGGAGCATGCCGAGACCCCGGCAGAGCAGACTTGAAAGCCTCCCACGACAAATCACAAAATTAACCACACAGTCAGTAGACAGATTGCAACTACGCACCGCCTAACAGTGGATTTTACTGAGATGATTAAAAAGGAGCAGCTATCCAGCTGCCCATTCCTACCCTTCTCCAGGCAAGCGTGGTCCTGCCACCTCCCCTTCACCCCATGCCCCACAGTGGGGAGGGACAAATGAAAAACATAACTCCTAAACCCCCCACAGGCTGCAACATTTGAAGAAAATCACTACCCACCTCATTTGCACTTAATACAGCAGGTTGTTAACACCCTTGTCCTTTTTCATCTGCCCACAGGACGCTCATTAATGTGAGGACACCGCTGTCAATCAGTGGACAGCAAGGAGGCCAAGAAGCAAAGTTTTAATGGAAGCTAACCAGTATCAAAAATACTAAAGGTAAATGGGGAAGCTAGTAAAAAAATTACTACTACTTTAAAAGAAAAAAAAAAAACAAAAAACAGACTAGGTTGACTCCTGCGTTGCACGCACAGCTGGGAAGTAAACCCTGGGGTGCTGCTACCCCGTTCCTTTCCCCAAGCACAGGCGACAACCCCTTTACACAGCAGAGGTGCATTTTTACACAGAGATAAAACACGCCCAGGAACAGGCTCACTCAGAGCTGTCACTGCAAGCTCACCGGTGGGGACCCAGGAGGAACCTCAGCTGTGCTAACCTCCCTGCGGGGAGCGTTTCAATCCCCCTGAAGGTCTTTCCGCTGCGGACACATCCCGGAGAGCCACTGCGTGGCCGGCTGCAGCAGCTCTCTGAACCAGAGGTGCCAGAGCAGCCAAGAGCTGTTGCACTCGGGCACGATCTGGAGAACGTGACTTTCCCCGGAGGAAAGAAAACCAGCCTCAGCACCACGACGGCGATGTGCCGAGCAGAGCTGTAACGCCTCTCCCACGCTCAGCCCCCTCCTTTGGGCCTTCAGACACTGGTAAGTGGTTATGGTCTCACGTCACCAGCCGTGACTTCATGCAAACTGCAGGTCGCAGAGAGTGCCATCTTCCACTAACTCTTCATTCGGAAAGCAGCAATCAGTCCTGTTTCCAAGCCACGTTAAACGCGGACGCCACCAGGCCGTCAGCTCTCCTGCTCACATTTTACAAAGACATCAGCCCTATTTATTCAGTAGTCAAACTCACTTTAGGGTGAGAACAAACCCAAAAATGCCTCTGGAAGAGCAGCACTGAAGCGTACTTTGCTCCGAATACCAAAGTGCATTTTGCTCTCCGACTCTTTCAAGCTGCAGCTCTTACTTAAAACGTTTCCTCAGCTTTTGCTCAATTCACATTAATTTTTTTTTTTTTTAAAGAAGCAAGATCAAGATCTGAGTAACACTCTCACAGCGTTATCTATTGCATCGTTGTTTATCTTCTCCTTCCTACATCTTTCTGTTTTATGCTCATCTCCAGTTGCTTCTTCTTCTCAGTTTAACTCAAAGGCAGAGTCGCTCCCTGCTTTCTTACGTCTTTTTTTTTTTTTTTTTTGCTGTCATGGGGCCATAGGATTCAAATGAGGTCCCTTAGGTGCTGCTAAAAATACAAGTACTCTGCATGCTGGAGGGAAAAATAAACTATGTCAAATTCAGTGTGCAATTTTTCAAGACATGTATGAAGTGGAAATTATTCTGAATGTCACTGACCACACGCTGTAATAGAACAACCAGAGAAAGAGCTGTTCGGTAACACGGGAAGGTTACAGAGCAGAAGAAAGCAGCAAGATCACATATATTTTGGCTTCAGCCTATCTGAATGGCTCTGTGCAGCCAGAAACGCGTGCAGAGTAGCCAGTTTTGCATCTCGGGCCTGCAACATGCACATTTGTTTTCTCTTTACAGTGACAAAGCTGTTAGACTGAAGGGATGCCACCGACGCTCTGTACAAACTAGAAAAGCAAGCCTTAGAAAGCTACAGAGTTTGTTTGAGGCACTTTGTGCACACGCAAACTATTTTTATTTTTTTAAAAAGACATTTATTTTCTGCAGAGTTTGAAGAAACGCATCCTGCCTTGATACAAATTTCAAATTAGAAAGAAAAAGACAGCTGCCTGCCAAACACTGCACGTGGAAGACTGAAACACAGAAGACAACCTATACGTTGCAGTAGCAAAGAGAAGCACTAGTTGTGACTGTTCAAAATCTGCCTCCCAAATTTTGTCCTTTCCGTACCGTATCTTCCCCAGAGAACACTCTGCTCCTGTGACAGTCACACCTTGAAGCAGCCCCAAACAGGAACGGTAAGAAAACGTGAACAACTCCAGAAGGATATTAGATACAAGTAACAAAAAACCTCAAGCTCTGCAGGTGGTGTTCAGCTGGGAAATAAAGCTACCCCTGGTTTCTTTTAAAAAGAAGGTGGTGAAATCATGTCCCCCCTCCCTCAGTCCGTCATCTCTCAGTGAAATTTCCAGCTCCCAGTTTACGATTTAAGGAAGGAATAACTAACTCCAGTAGCAATAAGCCCACAGAGGCTCGGCCAAAAGGTACGTTCCTGCCGATATGCACTAAACACTACCTAGCAATCGGCGTATCCAGGCTCTTCACAAAATATCCCAACTTTTCCTAAACGACGAGAAGAGCTTTCCTGAAATTAATGCTCCAGGTGGGATTTCAAGTATTGATGCAGACCCCTTCCTTCTGCTGACAAAAATCCAAGACTGGGCGCAAAAAATATCGTCAGCCTGCAAGTCGGATTTACTGATACAGTCCTCCAAAAACATCCCTTTTCTTTTTTCTTAAAAGCATTTTTTTGTTACCTTGTTGTAAATGCTAAGGGGAAATGGATCATCTCAATCCACACTGTGCTCCTTCCTTTAAAAGTAACACAGTCACTCACACTGCATAACATAGCTGTACTTGATGACACAGCCCAAAGCAAAATGGGCTAAGAAAAGCTAGGCTTTATGAGAGTAGCCCCTACCTCACCTAAAATTAGGTATCTACAGGAAGCCCCAGACCAGGATCTCTTCCCACAGAGGCGATAATGAAAAAGGAAGGGTAGGAGGCAACCAAAACGCCACTCACAAGGGTTGCTAGCCGTTTGCAGTTCATATTCCTCCCAAAACACAAGCCAGCTTTGGCAGCGGGACTGAGCGTCTCCAAAGGGTGGACCTGCGCGCTGCGAACACGCTGCCAAAGCTGGAAAGCAGAACGGAGCGTTTCGGTGGCACGAGTGCGGCGCGGCCACCTGCCCTGTCTGCACCTCGCCCCAGGGAGGAGCGACACAGCTTCTGCTGCTCCCAGCGACCAAGGGATTTCTCCTGCTCCTGTCCCGGCCCGAGCGTAGAAACTGGAGGTAACGTCAAACCAGGACCAAAAAAATAGGACGAAAAGCAAATTATCTTCTTCAATCCAGGTGACGTGGTGCTAAGAGATACTTACGCTTCGCTTACTAAAGCCTCTCTGATCTCCTCTAAAAACGGGCACCTCTGACAAGACAGATCCCCAGTTGACAGATGAGGAACCAAGAAGCTAGACACGACAGTACTGTGATCCAAATTTTGGGCTGCATCCTGGGGCTGTCCTCTCTCCCTTGCCTGCCAGCCCAACCAGATCTTCGCCTGGTATCTCGACACGTGAAACTCTGTCCGCGCTGTTCTCTACCGCAGCAGCCTTGCATCCTGCCGCCGTTCCTTACAAAGCCCGGGAAAAAGTCCTTCCCATTCCCCACTGATGCATCACCCCCTCTGCAGCCCCTCTGCTGTCATCCTCCCCATCTACCAGCAACGGGGATCTGCTTTCTCTCCAAAGAGATTACAAATTTAGCTCCCTCTGGGCAACGGTCTGGGGAAGAATTGGGCTCGGCCGCCTCCTTCCAGAGTGGCTCCTTCACCGAGGCCGCATCTGCAACGCTCTGCTCACCTGCAGGTCTCCCTCCACCCTTGGGTGGACGAAGGCGCTTGATTTATACAAACAAGAAGAAAGCTCCACCTAACTCCCCCTGGATGGCAGACCTGCAGGCAGAGTTTCACCTCTCAAAAATCCACCCAGCTGTGGTCTAAGCAGAGGGACCGGAGCAGAGACACCGAAGAGCCAGCAGACGAGCTGCGCAGTGCTTACTAAAGGGTTGCAGGTAGCTGCACACCAGCATGCCTTGAGATACCTGACAAAAAATTCGGTCCCACTGCGAACAATTACAGGATTCAACTCCTCACAGACCTTCTCACAAGGGGACAGAAAGCAAGTCCTAGCCTTTGAACTGAGCAGCTGTGGTGATGCTACACTGATATATTATTTATTCTTCGCACCAGCTGAGCGTGAAGGAACGGGGATTTTATTGTGAACCAACCATTTCTACCACCAGTAGCAGGGAACAAGCAGGTCTCCTTCCTCCAGGCACTCTGCGTGTGTCCTTGGGGAGTTTAAACCTGTTCGCAAAGCCCCCCTTTCAAAGTGCTGAACTGCTACTCCTAAGCCACCAAGCAACTAAACCTCCTTTGAGCCAAAGTTATTTAATTTTCAGTCTCTTCAAGCCCTTTGTGTCTTCTTACAAGGAAAACACCAAGTTTTACACAGATGTCATGCTGTTATGCTGCGCTGGTGTCAAACTGCACTGCTCGATTTCACTGCCTGCTGTAAAGTGAACTGTACGTCCAATATAACTTGGCAGAAGGGCTTTTAAATGAAAAAAATCAGAATATCTCCTCTTTGCAGGAGGTCAGCACAGCATTGCGTTCTGAAGCTTGGGCTGGATTTTGGGACGTTTTGAAATCTGATCCTTCGTTATTTTATACCGCGGAAAAACATCTGCTCAAGCCACCTGAGATAACAGACCGTGTCTTTTGGCCGTTTCTCTGTCGCTGCTGCATCCACCGATTACAGCGGATGATCAAAGGCAAGCCTGACATAGGTGCACAGCCAAACGCAGTTGAGTTACGAAATCTTAACAGTTACCTCCCACGAGCCGAGTTGTCTTACCCACCTGCACTCCTCCTCGGCGTGCCCCATCGCCAGGGCAAGACTTGTACAACTTGCCTGGTTGCTCGGCTGACAGATGGTAACTTCTTCCAGAACTGCAAGCTGATACTGTACCCAAGCCCGGAGAAATACGTATGATTTGAACCACTCTATTCTACTGCAAAGAGCAAGGCACTGAAAACCACTGTCCTAAAGAAGAAATGATGAGTTTGGCTTAAGATTCGCTCGAGTTCTCCACGTGCCTGACTAACTACCGCTACAAACTGCCATCAGCCAAAAGCAAGCAAATGATGTATGTGAATTTTGACACACCATACCGAAACAGAACGCTGACCTACGTCAACCTGAAACTACTCTATGGAATAAAGTCAAAAAGGTAGTGCATAAGACCACATCCACAACCTGAGAAACTGAACAAATTTCTGTTCCTGTTTCACAATCTATTTTCAAAGGGCATTTTAATATACCATTTGTATTCACTGCCTAAGGTATAAACTAATCCCTGTAATTTTCCTTTAAGGAACATGCCTAATGGAGCTGACCTCTAAGCATTTATTAAAGTGATGAAATGCTTACACAGCACGTGCTAAGAGATGAGACCCTCAGCAAACGAGGCACACCTGAAGTCTTTACCCGCCTTCGCAGTTGCTACACTTCCTCAGTTACTAGCTTGGAGAGACTGATTACTGCATTCGCACGCCAAGGAATAAACAGTACAATAGCGCAAGTAAAAAAGCGGCTAAGGAAGCAACAGGCTACAAGAAGTTAAACGGCCCTGGTATGATTTACTGAAGTACGTGAAACAGACACCTCTACATGCTTCAAGCTATTGGTGCCGTCAACTCACAGCAAACGATACACCCTGCAAAGATGCTAGTTGCCTGACTCATGTACTGTTGGGCGGAGGGGGGCATGGTGAACACCAACAGGTTGAAATACCAAGGGGAGCCATAAGCAGAGGCTCTTCTGTCACACGCCTAAGAAAATCTTTCAGAAGAAAAGCTGAAGGGTTAAACCACTGAACATACCTCCTACCTGCAGGTGACATACGCACAGCTTCGGATCTGCTTCAACTGTATTTCTGGCACATGATGAAACCCCAAAGCCTCCTAAGATATCTGAGAGGCCGAGCGGAAAAGCGGAGGAGCTGCACTGCAATGCCGGCTGCTGTGACAGCAGCAGAGCTGTGCAGTATTAGACAGACACTCACCTACAGGTCGGCACATCCAGGAGATCATGGGCAACTTTCACTGTCTGTGAAAGCGCCACACGCTCCTGCCTACATAAAAAGCTTCTGCTTCTTAAGTCTCAAGTCTTTACACCAGTCTTTCCTACAGAAGTCAAGCAGCACATCTGAGATTTTACTTAGGCTGTTCTCCATTGCTACCTCAAGTGTCACAGCTGTCTCAGCATTTTTATTAGAAACCCTAGGAGGGAGATTTCAATCCCAAAATGGAGAACTCCAGAATTCCTGCACAGTGCCACAATGGTGGCTTTTGGAAAGTCTCAATCTCCAGCTTTTAAGATGCTTACAGCAGACACATTTTAAATGCCAGCCCAAGCAACGTTAGGAGTTACAAGTCCTGCAGTGGTTGCACCAAGGACACCTGCCAAGGTGATCCCCATCTGCAGCTCATCTCCCATTAACAAAACCAGGTGTGTGGTTTGCAACAGCAAATGTCCTCACAGAAGCCAAACATCAACTTCAAAACAGTGTCATAGGGCTACAGGCCCAGCCAAATGGGCTGCAGCAAAGGAAATCAGACTGGCACTCACACAGTGAACTACGTCCTCAGGAATGAAATTACTAGCAAGCAGGATGAACCAAGATACAGGAGATCCTGTTTGCATGTTTATTTCCTTGACTACAACAAAAACACAAGAGCACACAGGCCTTTTTTTTTTTAAGGCCATAGGGAGTGCTAAGCCAGACGAGTTTCAAGGAGGCTTAAGCTTTAACCTATCTTGGCATCTTTGAAAATGATTGCCCAATGATTACTTTATATAAATGAGTCACTGATGTGTTAGAAAAAAGTTCCAGTAAGCGCCTGTCCAAATAGGTTTGCATCGTATCTGAAACTGCACTGCATGCTGAAGGAAAGATTACAGTGATCTCTATCAAAATACATTCATCTACTTAGTAGAGACATTAGTAAAAGTTGAGTGAGAATCTCCACTACAAGTGGGTTTGATGCAACAAGCAACGTCCCAAGAAGCCCAAACGCAGAATATCCAGGGTTATTACACAAGATGCTGACATGCACAGGTCTGAACCATTTATTAGCACAAATATCCACAGCGAGCAACTGTGCTCAGAGCGACTGCCACCAGTCCTTGAATTGGTTTCTTTGTGGGAAGAAGCAGCACGGAAACACCAGCTAGCCCAATACAGCAGGCCCTTACCTGAGCTTGGTGTCAGGTGCCGAGAGGCATCAGTTCAGCTGGAGTTGTTCTCTCCCTTTTGGGCATCTAACTGGCGGGAGGCTTTCCCGGCGCCAAGCCGCTCGTCTCTGCCATAGATCACGATAATCCTCCGTACTCGGCTGTCACACCCTGCCAGTTCCAAGTCTCGTCCTCCTGGCTGGCTTGCGCATTCCCAGATCAGCACCGCGACTCTCCTCTCCAGTGCTCCTGGGCACGAGCGCTTGCAACCAGCAGCCGGGAGAAAAGGCAGCCTGGGAAGCTCTCTGCAGGCGGGCTCTCTTTACCATCAAACTCACTGCAAAGAAAACAAAAAGCTGATAAGCTTCCCGTTTCTTGCACAGAGGAGGCACTTCCCTTCACCGGTGGCTGGGTAGCCTTGCCAGCAAAGGGTTAAATACATTTTTCCCTTTGCAGTCTGAGCACCAGGCACTCGGGACTGCTGCGCTTCCCTGTGCTGCGGGCAGCGCTTCAGGGGCACGAACCGCTGCCCAGGAAGGGGACCATGCGGAGGAGGAGGCAGCTTCAGACTGCAAAAAACAACGGCGGTGAAACGCGGCAAGTGAGACCTCGGCTTGGGAAGCCGCAGATGTTTCTAAGCGGCGTTACCGAGGCCAGGCTAAGCTCTGGGGGGAATCGAGGCGAGGAAGGAAGCTCCACTGAATCACTAGAGACAGGGCGGGACATAGCACCGGCAAAAAACCATGCCGAAAGACGAATTCCCAGCTTGCCAAAGGGAGCGGAAGGGCACCCCACGGCATGAAGTACACGAGGCTTGTCTGCCCCGCAAAGAAGAAAACCCATTTCCCATGATGTCATTCATGCTTGATTTTGTTTGATTTCTTTTAGTTTTTAGGACGGGTTTCCTCCCCGCCCAACGCGGAGCACTGGCTATGTGCTGCTTTCTCTTTTCCTGCAGAGAAACTCGTGCCCGGCCTCGCCTTATGTTATCAGGGAGGACCTGACAGAGGGATTTTGCTCAGGATGGGGGTGGAAGTTTGTCATCATCTGACGGGACACGCTGGGGACAGGAAAACCAGCCCGTGCGCCTCCACTCGTGTGATACCATTTGTCTGGGGTGCTCACCCAGGGAAGCGCAGCTCGGACACAACCCAACGTCTGGCTTTCAGGGGGCTCCTGCGCCTTAGCCCACCTCCCGGCTTCTGGGGCGACAGAGGGGCTTCCCTTGGACATCTCCAAAGATGCTTTTTGCCTTAGCTGAAGGATACAGTCTGGCACGTAATTTAAGCTGATCTAAGATCATGCTCCTGGCTGCAAAGGAAGGGGGTGGCGGGGTTCCTGCCGTTCCTCCCTTTCCCTCCAGAAAAATATAAAGTTGGGGGGAGAGGGAAGCAGCACGTTGCCTCTTTCGGTAGTGCCAGGGACTTAGGTCGGCTGCAGGTTGGCTGGCTGCGGTCACACACTGAAGTCATCGGACTGCTACAGAGCAGGCACTGGCAACGCAGACTTAGCCACTTCCCAGCACTTGCGGTTTCTTCCTGATAACATCCTCATAGCCAACAAGCGGCTAAAGCAATCCAAGGGACACCGGAGCCCAATGAACAGCTACATCATTACATGACAGCCTCAAAAACTGGCATTGCTTCCCACTCTAAACATCATCATCAAAAAAAAAAAAAGAAAAAAAAACAGAAAAGTCCCTACTAAAGGCATGAAGGCTGTCCAACGGCGGCCTGTGACATGGGGGCACGCACACGGCTTTAAGGACCACGAGCGCTTTAGAAAGTTTTCACCAGAGCATCGCAACAGCACTGCACAGCCAACGACAAGCTCTCCCAGAGCAAAGCTGACTTACCGCATCAGAGCGGGCGGAGGAGTCCTGCTCTTGCCGCCAAACCACCGCCTTCATGTCACTAAGATGTTCTGCAATGTTTACGGGAGGAAAAGACCTACCCAAGCAGCCTACGGCACTTCTCTGCTGGGGAGGGAAAAAACCCGCTTTCCACACTCGCAGAACAGACGAGGGTAGACAGAGGGGATTTTCCCCCCCTTCCCCTACACACACCTCTTTTTTAATTCTCACCTTATGTAATGCAATGAGATCATGTGCTGCTTTCACAAGTGTAAAACTGAGAATTTACTTCAAAGTGCAACACTTTGGTTTGAACTCAGCCAACACCGCTGACGGTGCGGGGAGGGAAGAGAGTGCTAATGCCCAGCAGAGAGAGCACTGCTTGCTTTCATCAAAAAGCCACTTTAATAACATGATTTCTTTTCAGATTTTATTCACAAGCACTTGTGAAATGTCGTTTCTCCACATTCACATACTGTCAAACCAGCTGAATCCCCCTGCTGTCACCTCTCCAACACCGGGGTGCCACAACCCAAAGCCGTGCAGACGACTTGGCACGTGCCCCTTTTTGAGGTGGCTACTTTTATCACTAAGTAACCTACAAGGTAGATTACGCATGTTTTCCTCTGCCCTCTCGGCTCACACCACACTTATGAAGTACTGCAGAAAGCAGCGGGTGCAGCAATAATACTACTACTTTCCTGTAAAGCACCACTAGACTACGGCAATATGACGGTACACGCGAATAGGTTGGCCAAGCCTTTTATTTATAGAAATCCTGAAACGTAAGGCTGCGTTTCCATGCTCTGCAGGCCCCTCAACGCTGTGCGTGGCAGCACTGCCAGTAAATAAAACCTCAGCCCCCTCCCCAACGTCTTTCCGGTGCTCCCAGCACTTAGGTTTCACCCGCACTTTCGGACAAGACTTTTGCAGCGTGCCTTCGAGCTCGGGTCAAGGCTCTCTGACCGAGGACTGAGACACAAGAGAGAAGCAGGGAGGAAAAAAAAAAAAAAAAAGAGGACTTAAAGAGAATTACTCCGACAGCGGCTCCTCCCTGCTTATCCTAAACCAGACAAGAGCTGCAGAAGCACCAAAGCTGAACTGTTGCAATGTCAGAAAACACGGCTGCAACCATAAGCTAAGCCCTCAGAGCAACACTGCTATTCTGCAAACACTACTTCAGCAGCTTCTATTTTCAGATCTCAGAGGGAATAAAAACCATAGCCAAACATTTGTTTTAGGCACTTTTAGCCTGGAAATCATCTCTTCTAGATGATTTAAAAAAAAAAAAAAAAAAAGGAAGATGTATGATTTCTACTTGACCTCATTAAAATAAGAGAAGCAAACTGGAGAACGAAGAAGTCCACATGCTGCTTTGGGAATTGAAGACTAATTTTCCCTTTTTTCTGCTCTGCGTTCCCTCCTTCCTCCAGTCCAGCGTCTACAAAAAGGCCAGCAAAGCCAGAAAAAAAATCCCCTTCTTTTGGGTGATGAACCGGCCCTGAAAAGGAACTATATAAACAAGGACGTTAGGAACGAGTTGCTTTTAGTTGCTTAAGGCTGGAAGAGAAGTTTACATTTCTGTAAACTAAAGGAAGCTACAATATTGCTCACTCTCCACTTGAACAGGCAACAAACCTGACAAATTCAAGCTGGAAGCGTAGCATCCAACTAAGCAAATTTTAAAGAGGCTTTAAGTATACAGAGAAAATGACTTAACGGCAGCTGTAGGTTTGTACGCGTTCAAGACTAACCCAGGCTGAATTGTGGATTTTGAGCTGAAGCACTGAGAATACCCCAACGCTGCTGGATGGGGGAATAACGGTACTCAAATACGCCGGCAAAGATCTGCCGCCCAACCGCACAGCTCATCCCAGCGAGTACTCCTCCCAAAATGCTTTACTTCATTCTTCTCAGTCCGCGCAGCAACAACACGGGACGTGCTCCTCTTCCTTTCACCTCCTCTTGGTCATTTTTGCTTCCAGAGGCACAGGGAAAAGTTTGGTGAACTACGGGTTTTCACTGCCTTTCCTTCTTCCCATGCAAAACGTTACTCGCTTTTAGGCTCAGCGGCCACTGCCAGCTACAGGCGATTTAAACACAACAAGCGCCTGAAGCAGAGGGGTACGGGCAGACATCCTGGCTGATACCCGACGTTTTACCCTTGGTCCTAAGAGAGCGGGAACTAAGGAAACGGTCACTAATCAAAAACTAAAGGGCAAGAAGGAAACAAAAATTAGCCAGTGCACCACCAGTGACCTGCGCTCTCCTTGGCACAGAGGCACCTTGTCTTTTTAAAACACAAATAAGAAAATACTGAACATCCTTTCATATTGAGTCACAGGGTCAACCAACGGAATAAATAAGTAGAAAGTTAAAAATTCACTACTGCGAGAAGATACAACTCGTCTGTGGAAAGCTGGCAATATCTTGGATTTCCATTACCTTCAAATGATGACTTGGGATATTTATAACACACCATTAATATCTGTTCTTCCACTGAAGCCTCGAGCAATCATGTCAAGCAAGAGAAAATTTCAGGAAAACAGGAAATATTTCATCCAGCACTGGAAAGCTGCTGAGAAAACATCTCCCAAAGCACCACAATCTTTTACAGCCTTCAAGTATATGCAGTGCAGTGTTAGGATAAGGAAATTTTTAAGGAGTATTAAGGCAATTTTTTTTTTTTTTAAGTTACAACATAACCTTGTCCTTCCTTTTTGGTTGTTGCTATATCCTAAAATTACTCAAACTGAACAGCTACAGGAACTTTTGCTCTTTTGTGCAAACGCAACATTTCACATAGGCAAGTTATGCTCCCTTTGAGGAAATCTTTTGCACAGGAAGTCCTCCTCTCTTCTTTAATGGGAAACATGGTTATAAAAACCAACTGGCAGGAAGGTTTGAGGCAGATGTAATCCTCGTGGCGTTCTTCGGCGTATAAAACAGCAACCGCACCTAGGTCACAGAGCACGTTCTGCTAAACGCAGCTCGCCAACCTAGAAACCCATACAAAAATAACTCGAGTTTCTTTATAGCATTGAAATCAACATCCGTGCAATTTGGTCCGGGCTCTAAAATACTTCTGACGACGCACGCTGTGTTTGGCTGTCACTGCTTTACCGCGGCAAATACAAAACGCTTGTCTGCCGCGGAGACCGGATCCGCCAAGCCTGCCGGGGTCAGAAGACGAACACGCAACGCTGCAGTTGAAAGCTGCACGTCTCTGTCATTTTGGAGTGAGCGAGGTTATTGCAATGACGGCACCCGCTGCCATATAGTCCCTGACTACGGTACATTTATACGACCCACACCTTTGCCATGTGCGTCCGGAGGATAAAATGAGTCTTTCCCCCCACCAACACCTTCCGCCAGCCCCATGTTCACCTCCCAAGCCCCAGCACCACCCTTTTTGCTGTGTATTTCTTAATTAGCCAACCCCCAACGTAACAGCTGCAAAACACTCTGAAAACAGAATTAATTAG